ATCACAAGGAAACTCTCTAGGTTCTAACTAATATCTGTTCAAAACTAGGGATCATTTAACCTTTAAGGCACAAATTAAAATAATTTTCATTTTTCTGCTTCCTAGCTGGTACCTGCAATTGTAACGAAGTTATACTAGATAATTGCTTTCTGACTTCTTTCTTCAAATAAAATCTGATGAGCATAAATGTAGGTACTACTTCACTACCCAAAACAAGTGGCTATGTAGGGAGGTGGCATGTGGGAAGGGAGGCAGAGGTTAGGCTAGGGGAGCAATCATAATATGACTTAGGTCGGTGGATTGGTGTTTAGTAAATCATGGTCCTCCAAATAGTGCCAAATGCCCAGAAAATCCCCTGTACTGCCTAAAGAATTTCTGGTTCATGTAGTCACTGAATTTATGCTTAAAACTGTAATGTGTGCCTCTTTTAAATTCAGTAGGCTGTGCATTTATGACTTTAGATGATACAGCTTTCATTTTAAAAATAATGATAAAAGCTTAAGTTGTAAATTTAAATTGTAATATGGACACTAAAAAAAAAAAAAACCATGAAAAAGTAAAACAGTCTTCCTCTGGCTAAGGGCAATTCTTACATGAGTGCTTCTCAACTGCTTTTGTTTGTGAATGTTAAAACTTAAAATGAGTAAATTTTGTCTTCCAAGTAACTTTCTGTATTTTCCACTTATTCTTATCTCTATGTCACATCTGCTCTTAAGAACAAAATAAGAAGTGGCTTCCTTTTCTACACCAACTTTGTCAAATGTAGAAATTTGCAGTGCTTAAAAATTCAAACTGGTCATTCTTTTCACAGTATTACAGCCTGGGAGGTGAAAGGTCTGTCTAACATAACTATCCAAGAGCTTAATTTCAGTTTGAAAAAGGAATTCTGCAGTGGTGTTGAATTCCTTAGAAATGGGTGTGCTCAGTTTCTCTTTCCAAAGCTTGTGCATCTGACAATGGATATGGCCAGGGCGGGATCTCCCCTCCAATTTTCAGTTCAGCAGTTCATTTCTCTTTTCTTGTGTAACCCTTGTGATGCGAGTTTCTGCTTTTGAGAGTTCACATTTCTGGTTTTTCCCTCCTAACTTAACTGCATGTAGTGGTGGGTTGTTTTGTTTTTTGTTTTTTCTTTTCTAAAGAAAAAATATTTTCTATGAAATACATAGATAGTATTTTTGTGTATTTTTCTTGCTTAATAATTAAGTTCTTTCAAATTGAACAGGGTATCTAAAGCTCTTCTATCCTCCTAACTTGTGTCTCATTATCACAAAGTCAGGTGTCTACATTCTCTACAGCTTCCCCATTCCAAACAGGGCAGATACCTATTGTTGCTCTTTATGACCAAATACCATGTTTGCCCCAAACCAGCAGCTGGGTCCGGGGAATCTGGAAGTTAAAGACTGATGTCTGCATAATTCAATTCCAGGGCCCTTCCTCTTGCGTACACATTCCCTCCTCCACGCCTTGATTTGGACATTCGCCTTCCTCCACCCAGACCTCAGTTTCCTCTTGTGTAAAATGGGCATATTAGCCCCCTTGAAGGCACGTTATGAGAGTAGTGATAAAATATAGTAAGTATGCCTAGCACAGTTCCTGGCACTAAGTGGGCTCTTGAGAAGTGATAGCTATTTTTATTAGTGTTGGCCTATCTCATTATAGCTGTCATCATTATCTGTTGAGGGGGTGAGGATTCTTGAGGGGTATTATTTGATTCCATTATACAGTCTTAGCTAATCTAAAGCTCATTTTGCTTGACTACATTTTGTTCTTTGGTACAATTTGTGCTGTAGCCATTGCGGACTGATTTAAATGGGAGTCCTTGATTTTGTAGGCAATCATTTTCTCGTTTAAAAGGTACAGTCCCATTCCATTCATTTAGAATGAGGTCAGTTACCAAACAGGGGTTGAACTCTTCTGCCTTTTTGTGTTGGGCCTTTTCTCTCTTTTGCTTCTTGGCCTTAGGCCAGTGGGTCAAAGCATCTCAGGTGATGGAGGAAGCAAAACCTCTGGCAATGTTATGCTCGAAAAATTGGGCTTAGGGCCCAGGCAGTATTTCCATTATTAGAATTCTCCTTTTTCTCCTTTACAGCTTAGCTCCCAGCTCCTTTCTATGTTTCTTTAACCACAAAACAGAAAGAACAACAACAACAACACACATACACTCTTTTTAATGGCTTCTTAAATTTAACAACTATTTTAGTGCTTAGTGGGCCCTGAAGTTGTTTTTTTCTCTCTCTGTCATTAAAAAGTGAAGCTAGAGTGGCCTCTCCTTATCAGCAATGGATTTTTTAAAAAGAGAGAAAGAGCATGTGACCTTTGGTTGACTTCGAGAATGATCTTTAGGCCAATGCTTTTCAGTATGGGTTGCAACCTATTATTGGGTCATGAAGTCAGTTTAGTGTGTCCAGACCAACTTTTTTTTTTTTTTTTTAATGGAAGGGAAGAGAATAGACCAGAACATAAGAGAATAGAAAAGAAAATACAGGAGTCCATCGGGTGTATAAAAGTAACAAAGGATAAAAGTCAGCTGCTATTTTGTGAAACTTTTGTTTCAGTTATATAACATGTATAAACATAAACATGCACACGTATGTATATATGAGTAATGTGCTGTGATGTAAAAACTATTTCTTAACTGTGGGTCAAAAAAGCTAGAAATCCAGGGCGCTGGGTGGTGCGGTCGGTTAAGGCGTCCAACTCTGGATTTCAGCTCCGGTGGTGAGCTCAGGGTGTGAGATCAAGCGCCACATGGCTCCAGGCTCAGCATGGGGTGGGCTTGAGTTTCTCTCCTTCTCCTCTCCCTTGAGTGCCACACCCCCCAACTCTCTCTCTCAAAAAAAAAAAAAAAAAAAGGCGAGGAAGCCACTGCTATGGTTGCATTTGTCACTGAAGAGTTAAAAAACAAAAAAAAATTTTTTTTGAAAAAGCAATTACCTGGAGGCCTGTTTAATCGGATAAAACCCTTTTTTCCCATGAAAGAAAACTGGGCCTTTTAACTGTCAAGCCTTTTATTGATGGAGGGCTTTGGCTGCTGGTTTGACTTGCTCTGTTTTTGCTAGGGTCTTTTAGGTAATGAGCCTATTGTCTCCTTTTTTGGTTTCCTGCTTTCTCTTCTCTAAGTGGACCCTGGAAGCCATTCTGGCTGTTGGAGCGATGGCAGAAGTTTTAATACAGCAGAGACATCTGCAACATATGGTTTTGTGATTGTTGCCAGAGTTTTTAAGAAAATCGTGGTTTGGGGGAGAAAGTAAAACTCTCTAACCAATATGAAATACCCAGTTCTTTCTTCCCCCTGGTGGTAGCACTTACATCTTTGTTCCTCCTGATATAATTACAGAATTGGTTTTTATTTACTTGCATGTGGATTTTTTAAAAAATCAACTCCACTCCTAAGCCTATCTAAATTAACATGTTACTTTAAGGATTAGAATTGAGACAGTGATAACAGAACTTTTCATTGAATCCCATATCTCTAGAAGAGACTGCATTGTTGTCTTTTTTCCCATCCTAAAATGGAAAGACATCTATTTTATATGTGCTTAATACTGGTATATTTTGTCATTTGTTCTTTTCTCAATAATTTAAATATTTTAGTGTGTGTGTGTGTGTGTGTGTGTGTGTGTGTCTTTGTATCACCTAAAATTATCCAAATACCTAACTTAATTTGTCAGTCACTAAGATGGCATTCCAGTAGGATTAGTTTGGAGATATGTGAACCTGATTGTATTCAGAAGTCATTAATCAATGTCAAAGAGTATTTTTTGAGTTTTTTGAGTACCTGTGGTGTGCTTAGCAAACAAGAAGGAGGTTCCTAAAGAATTGCTGGAAGTGAAAGATGAGGCTCCTGCCTCAAAAGGACTTACCTCTTATTCATCCCTGTAAACATTTTCCTTCACTATATCACTGTGCTCTGCCTAAATAGGTTGTCTGCCTAAATCTAATTGGCAAGGCAAAACTTGTCATATGAAATAAAAATAATAGTTAAATGCCATCTCTAATGATACTTATTGTAAATTCTCTAGGAACTTGGGGTGGAGAGTGAGCAGGGCCAGCTAGGATAGCTGGAGGACAGAGGAAGTAGAGTTACTGAGTCTTGAGCTGTTGTCAACATTCCAATGGAAGGATGGAGAATATTCCAGACTGTGGGGGAATCCAGACAAATGCTTAGAGGCAGCGAATATCAGAGTGGAGCATGGAGGAGGCATTTCTTGAGGTTGTGTTCTGAGGAATTGTGAAAAGTAAGGCTGGGTATGTTGGGTGGGGACCTGTATTTTAAGGTGGAGGGATAATTGTAGCATTTCATAAGCTGAAAAGGTACCCCACATCCTACGGGTGCTTACAGTCTACTTTGGGAGAAGGGAGGGATTATAAATAGCTATGAGGCTGTCCTATAAGTACTGTGCTAGAAGCCAGTACTAGGATGGAAGTATTATAAGCAAAAAGCTTGGAGTCACCATGTCCATGGCCATCCTTGAGCTATATTGGGACTGCTTGGGCTTGGGGCTTGGCAACTTTGCTGACTCAGTAACAGACTTCCTTTCTGGAACAGGCCTGGCTCCTGACTTGCCAGCATATGACACTCAGAGTTCACCAGGTCATCCTGTCCCAAAGTGCCCAGTTGATTGTCTACAAGATTGTAATAGCCAGGGCTGCTTCCATCTCCGGCCGGGGGTCCTGCTGCATTCCTAGACGGGTTCCCCAAGTGCTTCTCCTTGAGCACCAGGGCATGGTTGGAGATTTGTATGGGTGCTTGCCCTCTGCCCCAGGCCCACAAATTAATGGTGGAAATGTTTTCTTCAAAGCAATTATTGAAAATAATTACTGAGATTATTTCATGTTAATGGAGAATCATGTTTGAATATCATTCAGCTTTTGCTGTTACTCAGCCCCCGAATCTCTGGCTTGTAATAGTAACACACATTTCATTCTTGCAGCTAAGCGTTAACTGTATCCTTGGTTAGTTTTCCCTCAGCTATATTCCTCCCTCTTTTCCTGCCCAGGCTCCTGGGTTAGCTGGCTTCAGACTGGGTTCAGGCAGAGACACCGGCAGGAGACGAGAGGGGAGGAGACAAGGAGACACCAAGGTATTTCTCCTTTTACCTTTGTGCATCAGGTAGCTTCTTCAGCATAGGCTGTTTCTCTGGGGCTCCAGTTTTCACTGGACAGGCCCACCCCATTATTGGGCAACACCATCTCCTCCTTTTGTATTTCTAGCTTAGCGGTGGTAGTGCTAAACCCTTTACCGTTTCCTCTGGTGCTCAGCAACTTCATGGCTTGTGTAATCAATTCCCTGCATTCAATTCCTTCTGTAGTAACTACTTGAAGTACTTTCTTTTTCCTGATGGGACTCTAATGGATACACTGCTCCAAAAAAGAAGTTTTTCTTTTGTCTTTTACGGTGTTTTTTTTTTCTGTGGTGCAGCCTCAGAAATCGGTATAAAATAACCCATTTCATTATCTAACTAAATGTCTCCTGATGAAGCAGTGTGATGTAGTGAAGAGAGCACTGGGCTTGGAGCTTCAGTGATGTCACAGAACCGTCACCAGCTGGTCCTCTTTAAAATTTTTATGAACACTTGTAGTTATTTCCAACATAGTTTCTTTCTCATTATAAGCTCAGAATTGGAAGATGCAACCACAATTAGATAGAGACAAGTTACGTAAAGCGTTCATCTCATGTTGGAAGACATTAATGTGCATTTAAAAGTTATCCTCCAAGTGACCAGGAAGTACATTTGACCACTGATAATATCCCAGGCGTCCCAAACTTTTTTGCTTCTTCCTAGCTTTCCTACAGAACCAAGAACATGCTCCCTAGGGCAGCATAAGTGTCACAGTCTCTGTCTTATGGACTAACATGAGATGGATTTCAGTCATAAGAGCAGACAATTGCCTCTTGTCTTTTCTCCTGAACTCCCCTTATTTGGGGCCTTGCCTTGGGGAAAAGATTCACTGTGATTCAAAATAGACTTGCAGTGATGGAGTCTTTTCCAGTTTGAAAGATGCTGGGATGATCAGATCTATTTCAGATTAATCCAGAATAAGAATTCTTAGTGCAGTCGCTATACTAAGCACGTTCAAAGGACTCAAAGAATAAATACCTAATATTCAGGTCCCCTTAGAGTTTACCTATTCTTCTTTCCTGATACAGAGATGACCTGGAACTAGGTTCAGCTTTCAGTGCTCTGTTGGAAACTGTTGGCTCCTCCCAAATCCTTTGTAATCTGAGTTAGTAGCACGTGGTGGGGAGGGGCTCTGGCAGGTGATCGCCCTGTTCACAGCACTTGAGTCACAGAATTCTCATCCTTAGCATAGTGGATGGCCCAATGAAGGGAGCTAGGCAGACCTAGCCCTGACACTCACTAGCTTGTCATCTTAGACAAGTTACTTCACCTCTTTGAGCCTCAGCTTCTTTCTTGGTGAAATGGAGGGTAATGATAGTTATTTCCTAGAGTTATACTTGGCACATAGTAAGTTCATAGTAAATGGTAGCTCTTTAATATAATTTCAGCGTGCTTATCAGTTCCTGAGTCAGGAACTCAAGATTACAGCTGAGCTGCAGAGGTTTACTGAGCCCCCTAGCCTTTGCCAATATAAGTTAAAACTGACAGAGTTTTTAATATTACCATTCCTTGTGAATATTATGTGTGCTCATTTTGATTTTCAGCTAGTCATTAAAGTTCTTAGAGTTCAGAGAAAATTTCAAACTTGACCAAGATGATAGTATCTATATGACCATGTCGTGATGGTATAGTGAGTACCCTTTTTTTTTCTTTTAACGTTTGTTTGTTTGTTTGTTTAAGTGATCTCTACACCCAGCGCGGGGCTCAAATTCACGACCCCAAGATCAAGAGTCGCATATTCTTCTGACTGAGCCATCCAGGTGCCCCCTCCCTTTTTTTAAAAACTGTCTTAAACCTTAAGTCAAATTGGTTTCCAAACAACAGTAAAAAATTGCTATTACCGTGTTTGCTCTTTGTGATAGGCAAATGCCACTTGTTTATTTTCAGCCTTTGGGGAGATAATTATACGGTTGCTTATGGGAATGACAGAATTAAAGCAGGCAGTTCCCTGTCTTAGGAAATCATGTTAGCTGTTGGTTCATCATCTGTCATCAGTTCCTGCTCCCGAGGAGCAGATCTTAGAATATTTTCTTTCACAAAAGACAGAAGTGAGGCATAAGATTTTCCCAGTAAGAGAGTGTAGTGACCAGTCATAGCCTAGGAACTCTTCCAGGCCCGTAACTTCATCTCTGTGTTCCTCAGTGCCTAGTGTAGAGCCAGGCTCCTGTCAGGCTCAAGACTTCTTATCAAATCCCATATTGGAATTTGCCCTTTCATTAGTTGGCTTGATTTGCATTTGACTAAGCTTAAACCTCACTGTATGTGTCATATGTAGTTCAACACTCCGTAGTGGATCCTTTGTGTAGCCAATCAGTTTTCTGTTTTGTAATTTGAGTAATAGACTATACTCATAGATGGACTGAGGAATTGGTTGCACAGTTGAAAAAGGGCCAAATCGGACATTTCTCTGCCCTCAGTATCGTAATTTCCAAACGTGGACTTCAGCCTTGAGGCCCACAGAGGCTTATCTGAAGTAAATATTTTAAAAAAAACTGATTAAGTATCAGTTTTTCTGAATGTACAGGTTTTTTTGCTTTCTTCTGTTACTTTCAGAAATTCATGCAAAGAATCGCAGACCAATGGTTGTGATCTCTTCTTTTCCCAAAATGGCCAGTGACATTTTCCTTCACACTCCTCATTCTGCTGACAGACCATTTGGGGTTGGAAATACACAATTGTGTATCATGTTTCTTAAGTCCTTTGTCGTACGCATTTCCTGACCTAATGGCAACACTGCCCGAACTGGGAACTCTAACAATTGTGACCACCAGATGTGGAAATCCTGCCCCAGGCTTGCCTGAGACCATCCTTGAAATGACAGTGTATCTGTAAAGTGATCATGTGAGTGGAGAGTTCTGTTTTTGCTTTTCATAGCAATAACTTGAGGGTTACAGTTAGGGTGCCTCCGGTACAGCCAAACATTGGGGAGATGAATTTAATGTCGTCAAATACCATCTTTTCAATTGCAGACATAAAATTTTCACCTCAGTGGTCAAGTGTGTTTTGTTTAGCTTTTTTCAACTCTTTATATATGGCAACACTCTGGTTCAGTCTACCCACCACATGCCCAAAGGCCGGAATTCTCTACCCTCTGTATCCCTGAATTTACTTTAAAATCTGTATACACCTGCTGTTTCTTTTTTCTAAACCACATTGTAATATGGGGCCTTATGAGTAGAAAGATGAGTTAAAAATATACAAAGCAGATTACTCACCAAGGCCACTTTTGCCCTTGTGTGTGTGGGGGGGAATTCGCCATGAGCCTCAGTTGAGCAGCTTTTTAAAGTCCAATGAACTCATTTTATTAAAGCTTGCCCTGTTGCCCTCTCCTGTTTTACAGCTGATTAGATTAATTGAATATGATTAATAAATTATAATACAGCAAACTCAGAATTATCTGTGTTAATTAGGGACAGGGGTAGCATGGAAAAATGAAATCTTCAGATGTTGTCTTTCCTCTTGGCTTTGTTTCTACAGATGCCACAAAGACACATCACGTGAAAGCAAGCTCACGTTTCCTTATTCCCTTCTTTGTCATCCCATACATTCTTTTGCAGGTGACAGCAAATAAACTGGAACTGAAGGAATTAGGGAAAGAGGGACAGATTTGTCCAGTCTACTTGGTAGATAATGGTTGCAGTCTTCAGTTAAGACTCTTTCAGATGGAGTATGTGAATTAGTCATTTGGTGTGCTTTTTTTATACCTTTTCCCCCCAGAGAAATGGCATCATACTCATTTTACTTCTTTAATCTAGAATTTGAAGTATAGTTGTAGTGAGTACTACTTCCAACTATAGCATGTGGAATTTTTTTTTTTCCAAAATTACTGAATGTTATGGACCTAGTTCATTTATATCTTGTTCCTTTTATAATATTATAACGTAAGTGCTTTCCAAGTTTCTTTATAATCTTGATAATGACCAAGGATTACTTTTAATATATTAAAATATAGCAATTTTAGTAATAATTTTAGTAACAATTTAGTAATAATTTTAGTAACAATTTAGTAATTTTAATATATATCTATATATACTTTAAAAATATTCCTTCATGGTGAAAAAGACTCAGAGTCTTCAGTGGCTACTCTAGCACTGGGAAGTAAAGGGTGGAAATCTGGGAGCTGTGTTTTATTTTCAAGGAAGTGTATCTGTACCAGTCTAACAGAAGACATCACTCAGGGGCGCCTGGGTGGCTCAGTGGATTGAGCACTCTGGCCGACTCTTGATCTCGGCTCAGGTTTTGATCTCACAGTCATGAGTTTGAGCCCCACGTTGGGCTCCGTGCTGGGTGGGGAGCCTACTTAAAAAAAAAAAAAAAAGATATCACACTCTCTAGGTATTCTGTGGTGGGAAATAAGAGTCATTGCCCTCCAGGACTCAAGATTAGACTGGAGACTTCCAAAGAGTCTTCTGTATCTTACTTACAGGCCTGTCATCTGGGGCAACCTCCTGCTTATGACCTGTTAAAAAACATATTTTGTATTTGTAACTTTGAAAAACTTGCCTGAGAAAGATAGGGGCTAACATTCAGTGATCCTTAATGCGTTCCTCGGGATTGGAAAAGAGCAGTCTTATTTTGAAAGAAGCGGGTAAAGGGAAACATAAAGTGAATAATTCTTTTATTCAAGATTGAGGGCTAGTGAGTGGAAACTGTGCAGTTAGTTTTCTTGCTCTGATGACTGGGTCCTCTTCTTTAGTTATTGGGGATGAGGGTGGAGAGCCTTGAATGGGGTGTTCCTCTTTGAAGTCAGTTTAATAAAAACAAGCTGATAAAATATAATTTGAAATGTTTTTTGTCAATTTTAGAAAAATTATTTTATGTGGTACTGGATGATTCTCTGAGCCATTCAGATATCAGGACAGCTTTGTAGAAATAGTCTCATGTCAATATTGTTTAGATTTTCTTTCCTCCTAACCCCAAACACTGGCATTTGGAAATAGGGAGCATAATGATCAAATGGG